TATCATGTCTTTATGTTAGACATTATGAATCGTGTCCCATATGCTTCGCATATAGGATCGATTACATATGCTATAATATTCCCGTGTCTTAAATTTTCCAAATGCCTAGCGCATTAAGAGGGAAAAAGGAATAGAATCGGATATGACTAAAGTGATTAAACAACTGTTAAGGACAATTTAAGGTTCGCCAAAGATTGGTCTCTTAAGGACAACTTGTGGTATAAATGAATGGACCATATTGACATATTCTGAAGAGAGGCAACTCTTGTTCATAAGTGATAGTCAAAATGAGAATATGGAATGTTTCCATATTGGGAGTTGAAGAATAGATGAGAAAGTTAGAAACTTTTATGCAAGAAGGATGTTCAAAGGAATGTACTTTGAATCTGACACTTCATTTCCATGGAATTGTCCTGTAACAATCTCCAAAGGAATATTTTGTAATATCATTGGTCAAGTCTCTGTTACTTTTGGCACTTAGACATTACAAAAGAATCATTGCATGATAGTTTAGAATCTAACACCTTCTAGAAGTGACAAGGATTTGGAATTCTTACACTTGCAATAAGGATTTGGAATTTTGAAATGAGCATCATTGAAATGTTTTTCAATTGATCTATTTCACAAATTAAGGACTATAGACAAACATAGTGTGCATGCTTGGTGCATGGCATAACTATTGTTTAGACAAACATAGTGTGCATGCTTGGGGCACGACATGACTATGGTTTTAATTCAAGTATTAAGTTGATTATTCGAAACATTATACAATGAATAATGAGTAATCAATATGGCTCAAAAACATTGGGGCATATAGGATTAATATTGTTCTTGTGTTTCACTTTGCATGTTTTGACTTCCCGAATAACTAGGTTATTCAAACTATCGACAGTCGATCATACTTTGGAAGTAGGTATTGAGGCAAGACTATCATGAATGGGTCTGTAGAAGTGTGTTTTGGTCATAGCACAAGTTTGCTACAGTGTTCATGAGTGCTCCTGTAATAATATTCGAGTATTGGATTCAACCCACGCTCATTTGAATCACTTCATGGATTTTATCACGAGTGATCATGAGACGATAATATCTTATATTCTTCAAACTGAGACATGTGAGTTGTAGTTGTAAGTTGGTTGCACATTGACATATGTAAACGCACCAGTAACTTGGTTGTTATAAAACATATCGTTGTGTGTAATTCGATAAGTAAGTACAAGCGAGCATTTGGGTCGAAGTTTATCCGTTCCTTTTACCCCATGTGGATAAAAGCGATATCTGTGGGACGCTCGATGATTTAGTGATGACACTCCTAAGTGCTTGGCCAAGCCTGCCTGATTTGATTTGTTCAATTAGTCGGTCGTCTAAAATCAGAAATCTGGAAACAACAGATGGACAGAGAGAATGATTATAATCCATGTCTTAGTCCATATGATATCCAAAATGGAGGAATATATGATCCCTTATCTAATGGACACATCATTGACCAGGTCAGAGTTCGACAACGGCTTTTAAGAGCTACGATTGCTAGTCGGGATTTTGGAGTCATATTTGCAATAATAGTTTTAGACTTATCCAAGTGGGAGACTGTTGGATTATATGTCTAAGCCCATAACTATTGTTGATATGTACTTGAACTGAGAGTAGCATGGTCCATTTGGGTTGCATGGCATCAGAACAATTTGGATAGACTTTTGTGAGAAGAGGATATTTATGGTTTATTAATATATTATAAGTTCGAATATATTAATATGAATTATTTAATTAGTATTGATCAAGAATTAGTTTGGAATTAATTTGTGATCAAAAGAGACTAATTAAATAAATGGGGATTGATTTGGTAAATCATTCATTCTTATATAGTGGGCTTATGATCCATAGTTCTTCATGTTGGGCTAAACCCATGTGGTTACCCATGGATACTCCATGGAGGTTAAAACCCATGGATCATGAAGAATATGGAAAGGCATGAGTTACATGGTGTAACCTTAATGTGCACACTATATAAAGGAGCCTCATCCAAGCAAAATCGACACTTAAGTAATACAAGTGAGGGCTAGCCGATTTTGGTGCATAATAATCTTCTCTCAAGTTATTTCAATTGTTGGTGGTGTTGTGTGAACCATTTGAGGTGCAACACTTGGGGCACTAAGCTCTTGAAAGGTACAAGGAATCAAGCTACAACAAAAGGTATTGCATTCAACTATATTTTGTGTTGTATATACTCCATAATATGCTAGTTAGGATGATACCTTGGAAAATTGATATTTTCATGTATAATAGAGAAAACATAGATCCAAGGTATATAGGGTTGCATGTACACCATAGGAGTGTTAGAATGCTCAAAATCCCATAAAATATATGCACATAGAACCCTCCGGTCGATAACTCAAATAAGACCCTCCAGTCACACAACATTACTACTCAGGTAAGTATAGTGAGAAGACTCACCTCGTAAATAAGCAAGTAGATCTAGTACCCCACGAACAGTCTAGACTCCGCCTACATAACATAATTATCTCTAATAAGCAATTTGTAATAACCACTCGAGATGTTAAGCTAACTCCTCTACTAGATCTCAAAAAGGGCGAAAAGACCATTTTACCCCTCCATGGTCTCCAAAGTCCACAATTGACCAAACCCTAAAAGTCAACGGAAGTCAACACTCGAGTCAACGGTCCCTGTTGACCCAACTCGGCGAGTGCACCTATGTGACTCGTCGAGTCCCCCTTGTCCTCAGAAAATCGGGAAAACTCCAACTCAACTCGTCGAGTGGTCTCATCAACTCGCCGAGTTGTAGTGCGTTCAGACGATCGGGGAAACCCTTGCTGACTCGTCGAGTTGGCTCATGCACTCGTCAAGTCCCTTTAGACCAATTCTCTTTTCGACGATTCTAAGCAGAAATAATGTCCCAAACTCTAGATCTAGCCTCCGAATGCTGAATTACCACGTAAAGCTGCAAGCTTTACGTCCATGCATGGCATCTAGGGCTCGAAATGCCATAATAAGCTCTAAATGGGGTTTAATGCATAAAAGCTTGTCACTAGCCTGATAAAGCTTGGATTTTTTGGACTCAAGGGACCTCATTCGGTCCAGATCTGATGTTTCAACTTCATGTCATGCTCAAATGACTCAATACCCAAAATATGGATGGGAGAAAGCCCTAAAACTCTCTAGAAAGAGATCTAACAAAAGAAATGATCAAGGTGGTAGCTTTTTACCTCCAAACAGAAGCTAACACTGTAGAACACTAGATCTAAAAGTCCCTCCTCGTTCCAAGCCTTGATGCTCTCCAACCTCCTTCTAAAAGTGCATTAGAACACACAAGATTAGCCTCTCTTTCTCTCACACAAGGTTATAGCTCGATTAGGGTTTCTCACAGAGTGGTAGGGTGATAAGGGAGGCGGGAATTGAGGCTTAAGGTCCTTTAAATAGGACACAAACCTTGAAAATTAGGGTTTTCTCACTCAACACCTACTCGTCGAGTTGGGGTCCTCCAACTCGTCGAGTAGACTCTAAAAATCACGCGGCCATTAACTCTTCTACTTGGCGAGTTGGGGCATCCAACTCGTCGAGTTGCTCTGAAATACGAATGCAAATTAATTAAATATTATACCCGGGAGTCGGCATGTTACAGTAACATTATTGCTATTGATAATGTGGTTACTCAATTGTTTTTTTAGGTGTTCAATAGGAGTATGAATGTCAAACTAAGTTGGGTCGTGTGACTTCAAAACCTCATTATTAGGGGGTGTTTAGGATTGTTTTTTTAAAGCAACTTATTGGCTTTTTGAAAAACCAATAGAAAATAAAATATGTTTGACAAACTCAAAAGCATTTTTCAGAATAGCTTTTCCATTAATTAAAAAAAAGCACATATAAAATTTGGCTTTTTGAACATTCTTAGCTTTTTAACCACAATAACTTCAACAAGGAGAATTTAAGCCTAACCTTTTTTTTAACTTAGTGGCTTTTACCACCACAAAACCTAATCTAATTAAAAAAAACTTCTTTTGTTATCGTCATAATTCAATAAACATTTTTGTCAAAAAAAAGAACACTTTTGAAACTCAAAAAGCAATCTTAGACTTGTTATTTCATACATGTAAGCTAATTAAGTTTATTTAAAATTATTCACTTATCTTAAATAACATTATATAATGTATTTTAATAAATGACTTATACCATAAAAGTCCCAAGTTTTACACACGTAATTGGAAAAAACTCTAACACTTTTTTTGGCTGGCTTTGGTCACAATTTTTATGGAGAGTTATCACGATAGCCCACTTAACTAGTTTCATGGTTAACTTTGTTATTTTTCTTGCAAAATTGGTCCCTGTGGTTAACTTTGTCATCTCACATCGCCACAAATTCAAAATCGACCCCCCAAACCGTCGCTAAGCCACAAATTGAGGCCTCCAATGTGTTCGCCCCACCCTTGCGACCACAATCCATCCAACCTCTCTGTCTCTAGCTCAGCCGGAGAACCTCGCTGCCGAAAACCCACCCTCACCAAAAAATGGCTGTTACAACCTCCACCACCCTCCATTCTCCAAATCGCTATCACCTTTCTACTCCTCTTCCCATCACAGACAAACCTATACCCTCAATTTCAAGTTCCTTTCGTCGGAAAAGTCTCGCTGGAAAATCTCAAAATCAGTCCTAAACTACAAGACATGTGGTGTAAGTTGAAAACGTTTTGGACATGTGGTGTAATTTTTTACAAACTACACAGACCAAATTTGGATTTTAAATCCAATTTTAGGACTGATTTTGCAAAAAAAGATAAAAGAGTTAACTATGAAACCGACTAAATGGGCTAGAATGAGTAAAAATTGTAGCTAAAGCCAAAAAAGAAAAAATGTTAAGAGTTTTTTTCGATTACACATTTAAAACTTAAGACTTTTATGGTAAAAGTCCATTTATAAAAAATTAAGAGATAATTAAAATTTTAATAGCCAAGTAATTGGAGTGGCTTTAAAGGCTGCAAATGTTTTATAGACGGAAGGTGGCCTCATGCCCTCATCTTTTAGGTCAACCAAAATTCAAGTTTCAGACCGCAAGCGTGGACTTCTTCCATGATCGATCATATTCATATTCATATGATCTACAACCTTCTAACTTAACTTTTACCCCAAATTTCCTCTACTTTACTTGAGGCGTTTTTCTTCCTACATCAATTGCAGATTCACTTCAATCTTTTCTCTGATTAGCACGAGAAATATGGGTTTATTAAACCCTAATCAAAGACCATCAAGAGGCATTCCATTAGATTCTCATATACCTAGCACCAGTAGCAGCAACAGCTCATCAACGTCATCATCACCAAGCAATACCCATAATTCGAGGAAGAAATGGTCCAATTTTTTGCCTGTATTCCTAGTCCTAGTTTTTATAGCTGAGATCAGTTTCCTAGGTCGACTCGACTTGATTAAGAACGCCGATCTCCTAAATTCATGGACGGAATCATTCTACCAATTTACGACGGCTTCCTTCTCATCCTCTTCTCTTGATACCGCCGATGAGGTATCAATGTTTGGGTTGTCTGAAGCCGCCTTGGATGTGTTAGATTCCGGCGATGGCGGTGAGAGTTGCGAGGAGTGGTTGGAGAGAGAAGACTCCGTGGAATATTCTAGGGATTTCAAAAGTGAACCTGTATTTGTCACTGGTGGCGAACAGGTTTTTGATTCTTATTCTAGTATCACTATTTATGCATTTCAGTGCTTTTAGTTTTACTTCTTGTAATCGGATATATACTTTCAATTTACATTCTTTTGGTAATCGAGTAAGATTCAGATTTTGATCTTATTGTCTGAGTAACAATAACAGATTGTTGTTCATTGGCTTAGGCTCCTTCATCTCCTTCATCTTGTTATCTATTAGTTGTGAATTTGTGAATCTGCAATCACTTATAAGCCTTTCATATAATGTCCCAAAGTATCCCCAATAATAAGCTCTAATCTGTAAACATGACTGTTGTTTGAAGGAGTGGAAATCTTGTGCTGTGAACTGCAAGTTTGGGTTTGAACAGAAGAAGGCTGATGCTGCATTTGGGTTACCCAATGGGGGTGGGACAGCTGGCGTTCTTCGATCAATGGAGTCAGCTCAATACTATGCTGAAAACAACATTGCCATGGCTCGACGGTGGGTAAGCACTATCTTAGATATTGCTCCAATCTTATGCAAAATCTTAACTTTTCTTTCTTTACATGATTGTTAGAGAAGGGTATTTCTGACAATGTATCATATTTCAGGAAAGGATATGACATCATTATGACCACAAGTCTGTCTTCAGATGTCCCTGTTGGTTATTTTTCATGGGCAGAATATGACATAATGGCCCCTGTTCCTCCAAAAACCGAAAAAGCATTAGCAGCTGCATTTATATCAAATTGTGCTGCAAGAAACTTTCGTTTACAAGCCCTTGAAGGCCTTGAAAAGTCAAACATCAAGATTGACTCTTATGGTGGTTGTCATCGAAATCGTGATGGAAATGGTAATTCTTTTTTTTCTTTTTTTTTTCCTTCAAATTTACATAAATCAATTTTTTTTTATCAAATTTACTTTCTTGATAGTAAACAAGGTTGAAGCTTTGAAGCGTTATAAATTCAGCTTAGCTTTTGAGAATTCAAATGAAGAAGATTATGTCACTGAAAAATTCTTTCAGTCCCTTGTTGCAGGTATATAATATATTAATATTAATATTATTTGTTTTGTTTGATATAATTTTATTTATAAACTTTTTTTTTCTTTTAATTAATTTCCAGGAACTATCCCTGTTGTTGTTGGTCCTCCAAATATCCAAGATTTTGCTCCTGCCCCTGGTTCCATTTTACATATTAAAGAATTAAAAGATATAAATCCAGTTGCTAAAACCATGAAATATCTTGCAGAAAATCCCATTGCATTCAATGAATCTTTAAGGTGATGAATAATATAATGATGTTTCTTAATCTTATTATACTTTTTGTGGGATTGATAATGACTTATGTATTGTGATTAATTTTTATTTTATTTTATTTAAAGATGGAAATATGATGGGCCTTCGGATTCATTTAAGGCCCTTGTAGATATGGCTGCTGTTCATTCATCTTGTAGATTATGCATTTTTCTTGCAACAAGAATCCGTGAAAAAGAAGAAAAAAGTTCCACGTTCCCAAAACGCCCTTGCAAGTGTAGAAAAGGGTCCGAAACTGTTTATCACATGTATGTAAGAGAAAGAGGAAGGTTTGAGATGGAATCGGTTTTTCTAAGGTAAAATTTTCATTCTGTTGTAATCCTCGATTCCATTCCCTCTTTGATTACTGCCTACCAAACACTACCTAAGTTTGACCGACAGGTCAGGAAATTTGACCATGGAGGCTTTGGAAACCGCAATTTTCTCAAAGTTCAAGTCTCTAAAACACGAACCAATTTGGAGAAATGAGAGGCCCGAAAGCATAAGAGGTGATGAAAATGTGCTCAAAATTTACAAAATCTACCCTCTTGGTTTGACACAAAGGCAAGCTTTGTATACTTTTAGTTTCAAAAGTAGTAATGCATTTGAAAGTCATATAAGAAGCAACCCGTGTGCGAAATTTGAAGTCATCTTTGTGTAAAATTACGACATTACCCCTCTTAAAGGTAAGGTTGGTATGTTGTTGAGATGGTGAAGTTCTAAGTAGAAACATGAAGGGGAGAGAGAGAGAGAGTAGTAATCATGTGATTGAATTTTGATTTCTTTGATTTTGAAATTATAAAATGTAAACCTTGATTTGATAGTATTTTGTTTGAGTAGTGAGAGGACGGAGAAAGATGGAACTTTATAATGTGTTTGTTTTGTTATTTTTAAGCAATGTAATACTAAAAACAACTAGAAATAAGAATCTAGTAGATATGAGTTTAAATGTTTTTGATGGATTGCTATTTCAAGAAACAACTTATGAATTTGTAGTAAAAAATTGAATTTAATTTTCGATGGACAAGAGTTGAGAAAAGTAAATATAAATATGGATATTGTTTGGGTCTAAGAAATGTGGCTTACACTAAGTTAATGTTATTTATATCCATTGCTTCATTTTGGCCACCAATAATGTTGTTTAATATCCAGATACATCTTATCCGACCCAGGATGAATAGAGTATCGCGTCTTGTGGGCCTCATTCATAACCACTTCTCTGAATCCCCCAAGTCTAGGGACCCAGATTCTATTCATGAAATAGTATGATCCGCCCTCCTTGGCTTCCAGACTTTTATTCATCCCACGCAGCATTTCATTTGCAATGTTTTTCGACTTCAACGCATGTGTTTGGGCTTCCTTGATTTGCGATGGTAGGTGGAATTGGATTGTTATGGTTAAGGTTTTCACCCGGCGACCTGAATATGCCTTTTTGCTCAAGGCATCGGCTACCACGTTAGCCTTCCCCGGGTGGTACTTGATCTCGCACTCGTAATCATTTAGCAGCTCAACCCATCCTCGCTGCCTCATGTTTAACTCTTTCTGATTCAGAATGTGCTGGAGTCTTTTGTGGTCGGTGAAAATGGTGCACTTTGTACCATAGAGGTAGTGCCTCCAAATCTTTAGGGCGAAGACCACCGCTCCCAGCTCAAGATCATGAGTGGTGTAATTTTACTTCGTGCATCTTTAATTGCCTGGATGCATAAGCTATCACCTTCCCGCGCTGCATGAGGACACAGTCTAACCCTTGGTTCGAAGCATCGCAGTAGACCACGAAATCTTCGGTTCCTTCTGGTAAAGATAGTACTGGCGCGCTACAAAGGGCTCGCTTAAGGGTTTGGAAGGCGACTTCTTGCTTTTCTACCAAGTTGAAAGACACACCCTTTTGTGTCAAGGCTGTAAGGGGTTTGGCGATCTTAGAAAAATTCTGGATAAACCTTTTGGTAGTAACCTGCGAGAACCAAGAATTGACGGATTTCTGTTGGGGTTCTCGGGATAGCCCAGCCTTCAATGACCTTTATCTTGGAAGGATCTACGTGAATCCCTTCCTTGCTGACTACATGTCCCAAAAAGTTTACGCTGCGGATCCAGAATTCGCATTTGGAAAGCTTCGCATAAAGTCTTTCAGCTCTTAGGGTTTCCAAGATTTGACGGAGATGTTGACCATGCTGTTCTTCGCTTCAAGAATAAATAAGAATATCATCGATGAAAACGATTACGAAATTGTCAAGGAATGGGCGGCAAACTCGATTCATGAGGTCCATAAATACAGCGGGGGCATTTGTTAGACCGAAGGGCACCACGACAAATTCGTAATGACCGTAGCGAGTTCGGAAAGCAGTCTTAGGAATGTCCTCATCTCGGACTTTGAGTTGATGATAACCGGATCTCAGATCTATCTTCGAAAAGTAACTAGCCCCTTGAAGCTGGTCGAATAGATCGTCGATTCGTGGAAGTGGATACCGGTTTTTGATGGTGAGCTTATTCAGTTCCCTATAGTCGATGCACATCCTGAAGGATCCGTCTTTCTTTTTAACGAAAAGAACCGGAGCTCCCCATGGAGAGAAACTTGGTCTTATGAATCCTTTATCCAGGAGTTCACTCAGTTGGCTTGATAATCCTTGCATTTCAGCAGGAGCCAACCTATAGGGTGATTTCACGATCGGAGTGGCTCCAGGCACGAGGTCGATTTCGGAATTCGACTTGTCTTTCTGGGGGTATTCCCGGAAGATCTTCTGGAATACATCCGGGAATTCACATGCCACTGGAATGTCTTGAATGTTCACTTCCTCTTTGGTCTTATCCACCACATGAGCAAGGAATACGTAGTTCTTCTTGTGTAGACACTTTTGTGCCTTGATACACGAGATAAGGCGAAGGTTGGCACCAGGTTTATCGCCATAGATTATTAAGGTTTTGTGATCGGGGAGATGAAGGCGAACGTGTGACAACCCGAAATTTTCATTTGTATAATCTCTACAGTTAAACACTTCATATAATATTCAAAAACATTTCAGTACATTTTTGGCCGGATTTAAGTCCGTTTGGGTGTTTTATTTTATTTTTCGTCAAACGATTAAATAAAAGGAAGTGACGTTATTAGTGAGGGGTAGCAAACAAAACAATCAACACCTTAGCTAGGTGTTTACGGCCAAACAAGAGGTGTTTGGGCCGTAAACACCATTTTCCCAAGAACTCATGCATATAGCATGAGTTTACACACCTTTTCCTCATTTTCCACTTTCCACCTCAAGAACACCAAGCTTTTTCTCTCAAGTATCATAAGTTCATTTCTTCAAATCCGCCAAAATGTAAGTGTTTCCTTCCTAGATTCGTTCATACAACACTTAATCTAGTGTTTATACATCATTTCATCCATGGATTCTTGGTTCTTACTTAGATCTTCAAGTGTTCTTCAAAACACCAAGAACACCAAGAACACACACTAGTGTTTTTGGGCTCTAATCACTCTTACAAGCTTCATATAAGTAAGTGTACCCTTCCTATCTAGTTACTACTTAGTATACTTGTTAATCCCTTGGAAAATCATCCAAATCCCCAAGAACATATGTGTTTACGGTTTGGGGATCTCCCAAAACCGTAAACACCCCCAAATGGTGTTTTGATGCCCCTAACACCTTCAAATGCTTGGATAAAGGGCTAGAAACTTGCATGCATGAGCTAGAAACACCAAAACACGAAAAGGTTGAGGCATACATGAGTTTATGGCCGTAAACTCATGGGTTTACGACCGTAAAACCCAAGTGTTTATGACCGTAAACTCTCAAGGATGGTCCAAGGACCGTAAACTCCAATGAGGGGTCCTTTTGTGCCCTAACCACTTCCTAAGCCTTTGATTCGAACTTAGAACCCTTCCTTGTGAGATATAGGACCTTGAAACACACAAATGCACCACTACCATGAGTTTACGGCCGTAAACGCATGGGGGAAATGGTCCAGAAACCGTAAACACACATAAGGACTACCAAATGAGGAGTTAACTCCAATGTGAGGCCATACTCTCCTTAGATGCAACCCTTAGCACTCCTAGCACTTGAAACAAAGTGTTTTCATGCATTAGAGTGTCTTTACTTGATTAATTAGTGATTAAATAACTAATTAGATATATTTATGTATCACTACATGTTACATAGGATCCGTGTGTGTGTTCAAGTCCTCACTTGACACCTAGCATCCTACCCGGCACTTCCATCCACTCCACTCACTGCAGGTGAGTTCATACCCCTAAATCAACCTTTTAAATGATTTTAAATGCTTTTATGGGGGGGAATACAAGTTGAACTGTTATAGTTATTGTGTCAATCACATGTGATTAATAACTAGAACAGATTACAAGATTTATTGCTACTTTCAGAGTTCCATCAAACTTTGGGTTTTCAAGTGTTTCAAACCTTTTATCAAATTCTTAAAATGCTAAAACTGTTTTCAAACTCTTTTAAACTTGTTTTATCTTCAAAACCATATCTATACTAATATATTTATATAAGTAAGACTTGAAGGACTTAGGACTGATAGCTCACCTTATTTCCTGTTCCTCGTTTGGTTGTGGACTTAGGGTATTCGGTTATTTGTCCGACTGTCGTTGAATTCTTAGTTATATATCATATATATTTGTGTTAGATATAAAAGTCTTCACTTCAGTTCGATACCTTTGTGTAACAAAGGCATGCAACCAACATTACTATTTAACTATAATAGGTATAGTTAAGGATTACAACTCCTTACTACTATTACAATGACACCTACCAGAGTCAGTACAGTAATGAGTCAATACATGCTAAATACTATACAAAGAGAATACTATATACTATACAAGAGAACACTTTATACATTATACCAGAAAATACATTATACAATATACAAGAGAACATACTATAATTAGAATGTGACATACTACTTCTCGATACGACACTTCACAGTGGTATCACCGTGTAACCAGAGTCTCCTGGAGGGAGAGCGGGCATTGTGTGTATAGATCTATACGGGACAGACACTCCCACATCCCGACTGCTAGCTACAGTCCCAGCCGAAAGGCCAAGGGGTGACAAAATGTCACATTTCTACATATGACTCGGAGGGTCATCGGTTATTCAATCGTCAATCAGCATGGTTACATACGAGTTCACATTCAGACCTTTAATTAATACATTTAGAATTAGAGGCAAAACAGACTCCCCGAGGTGTATTGTACATTTAATACTACCTGGAGCCTGCATTTTCATTACATATAGCCGGCAGTGGCACTGCTGGGGTAAAACACTATTTTTCCCAATTACTTTACATAAATGAAGTTTAAAACTATATTTTCATACTGATAGTTTCATTGGGAAAACTTTTACATTTTCAAAGGATCAAACATGCAAACAACCGGGTCTTGGTAGAAGACTACTTTTATTGGAAAACATAGGGTTTCGAGGGAGTATACTATTTTCAAACGTTGAAGTCAGTTATTATACTACATTGTTGTAAACATTTTTATACAAGCAATGACACTAAATACTTATGAACTCACCAGCTTTATGCTGATAAACTCTTTCAAAATAACTTGTATTCTCAGGTCATCAGTAGACAGGTACAGATGCAGCTTTTGAGACGATGGAGCACATACGAGACTCATCTTTTATTTTGATTATACTTTTGGTGTCTTACAAACTGTACAGAACACGCTTGTATTACAATTATTATATTAATGCAATGGATGTTGTTGCTTGTCTTTACTATTATGCATTGTGATGATACTGTACATGACGTCCTCCACCCCAGAACGTTTCCGCCGTTCTCGGTTTTGGGGTGTGACAGATTGGTATCAGAGCACTGTTTATAGTGAATCAAGTATATCAACCCATAAAAGATATACGAACTATAAACACATCGGGATT